ATTGTCTCGTCCCTTTACTCTAAATGTACGCAGGGGTGCATGTCTATCAATGATCTCCATAAAACCAAGATAAAAATAAGACCATGCGGTTTCTACATCAGCACACAGATCGATTTTACCCCAATCAAAATCAAACAGATCATGCACAAAACCCTGCTCAACAAAATGTTTTTTGTCTCTCTTAATGATAATGCGAGGTTTAACCTTTTGGACCTTAGTGTCCCTAATTGTGGCTACAACACAGTGATCACTCAGATCATTTGCAAATACTCCCACAGATGAATATTTATGGGGAACATTAGTTAAAATGAGATCAATTAGGGAGGATTTATTAGGGGACTTAATGTTAGGGCGAGTAGGACTGTCCACAATCTGAGTAACATTTAAAGAGATACAAAGGTTTTTAAAATCCTCTGACACTGCAGTTAACCAGTCCCAGTTAAAATCTCCAAGTAGCACTAATTCCTTGTAGTCTAGTTGTGATAAAAGATTTGCTAGTGAAGACAAGGAGTCTTTGACAGCTGAGGGGGGTCTGTAACAACTCACTACCATGACCTGTTGACCCTTTGCCACTTCTATATTTATGGCTAAAAATTCAAATTGCTTACTGATTGATTTGGAAACGAATGTGGTTACACTGAACTTCTTAACATAAATGGCAACGCCACCACCTTTATTAGGCCGGTCGGTAAACCATTTAAGGCAATGTCAGAGGCCAAAATAGATTTGTTTAGCCATGTTTCTGATAAAACAATGACGTCAGTGTCAGTTGAGCTCGCCCAGATACGGACAAAATCTATTTTACCTAACAGACTGCTTACATTCAAGTGGATGAAACCCAACCCAGACCTAGCTTTAAAATCAGCAGGAGTAGCGATCTGACTACTACTACTGGGCGGACCAGCGTTAGGTTGTACATTTCCTGACAGTAATAACAAAACAAAAAACAGGCATCTTTTCCTCTTAAACGACACACATACATTGTCATCTAATTTAGAAACACCGGAAAAGTCTGTGAGAGTGTGATTTGAGCTTAAGAAGCAGTCCTGAAGAACCATCATCGCAGGAAAACAAAAAAGACAAACATATTTTGTCGAGCAGATTGTCTGTGACAAGGCAACCGGTAATTGTTTGAGCAACACATCCGAACCTTTGCAGGGGATGCCCACTGCGGGTGGCAGAACAGACCTGAATCCAGTAGACTTCTCAGAATGACTAGAGATCTTCTCATAGTCCAAAACAGTTAACAGGCACAGCAGAATCCCGATATGGGCCATTTCCCCAGACCAGCACACAGTATCCGCGATGTTCCTGGAGCAAAATCAGCACAGCAGCAAAGGACAGGTGAAAACAGCAGCGTGGAAGCGCTCCGGTCCCTCCGTGGTATCCCCGGGGTGAAAGCAGGCCTCTGCAACAGCAGAACCAGGACAGGTGGAAAGCAGGCCCCAGCGGTGGTAAAAATCCTCCTCCGTACAGCAGCACACGCCCGGTGGAAGCAGGCCAAGCCCGAAGCGTGGATGCACTCCGTCTCTCCGCAACGACTCCGGGGTAAAAACCTCTCCAGTACAGCCGTATTCTACAGGTGGGAGCAGGCCTCCGTAGATCGCAGATCGCAAGCAGCAACAGGTGGAGCCGCTCCGTCTCTTCGCGACGTCTCCGGGGGAAAACACCTCAGTACAGCCGTACTCGACAGGTGGGAATAGGCCTCGGCAGATCGCAGACAACTAAAACTACTACTTGTATAAGCAGGGATGGCTAAAAGTTTGTAAGCAGGAGAGCTAGATGCTAACAGATGCCAGATGCTAACAGGTAGTGCGAGCCTGTAGAAATGGCGACTGCCATTACTCATCCTGTCTGAAGATCTGACCAGTGTGAGACGAGAAGAGAGAGACAGAAACTTCCTGATAATCCAGAGAGGTTTGATGTTGTCCTAGCGTTTGTTTTGCTAATGCAGCGTTAGCTAGTGCAGCAGCTCCCGCAACAACACCGGGGGACCTCCGGGCGACGTTTGAGTCTACGTCAACCCTAAAAGCGGAGTTACTGTGGACTCTAAATACCGTAGCTAAACACCAATCATACAACAGCATGAAGGCAGTAGAGCTCTGAATATAGCTCTTGTCACACACACAGACACACTTGTCTCTCACGCTAACACAGTTCTGTGTACTGTTATGCTGTTCAGTCATCGTTCTTATGTTGAACGTGAATATATTTACTTTGTAAGTAATTATGGGACGTATTTCTTCTTTTATAGCAATTTTCCTTCATACTTTCTTGCCGTGAAATAGGTCTTAAATTCTATTCAAAGTGGTCTTAAAAAGTCTTACATTTGAGTTGGTGAAACCTTTAGGAACCCTGTTTATTCCAAACGTATTTATTTATTTTTCACTATTTATTTTCTTGTAGTTGTTGTTTATGATAATCTGCTTTTTAAATATATTGTCAACTTTAATTAAATTGAAATTCATGCATTTAGCTGACCCTTTATCCAAGGGACCAACATGTAACTGCAAGAATCCTTCATTTAAATCACATGTGCTGAACTGCTACATTTAGAGGACATTGTATATTTATATATATCTTCACATTTTAAATGATCTCAACACGTTTCAGATTGGTGAGTTACTTTAACCTTTTTATGTTTCATGTTTGTCAATTTAAACTGTTCATTTGTTACCACTGCATGATGGGATTTAAAATAAAGAATACATTTATCCAAGTTTGAGCAGCGAATCATTGATCAATTCCATTTTAAACATTACATTACATTGCATTTAGCTGACGCTTTTATCCAAAGCGACTTACAATAAGTACATTCGACCAGGAAGACACAACCTTGAAGAAAACAGAATCATATAAGTACATCAGGTTTCATAGAGCCAAACATTTCAAGTGCTACTCAACTGGCTTTAGATAAGCCAGTCCTTTATTAGTATATAAGTGCTTTGTTAATAAATCTATCACTCGAAGTGGAGTCGAAAGAGATGAGTTTTCAGTCTGCACCGGAAGATGTGCAAGCTATCTGCTGTCCTGATGTCAATGGGGAGCTCATTCCACCATCTTGGAGCCAGGATAGCAAACCCACGTGTTTTTGCTGATGGGAACTTGGGTCCCCCTCGCAGCGAGGGCGCAGCGAGTCGTTTGGCTGATGCAGAGCGTAGTGCACGCGCTGGGGTGTACGGTTTAACCATGTCCTGGATGTACGAAGGGCCAGATCCATTCGCAGCATGGTAAGCAAGTACCAGTGTCTTGAAGTGGATTCTAGCAGTTACCGGAAGCCAGTGAAGGGAGCGGAGGAGCGGAGTGGTGTGGGAGAATTTAGGAAGGTTGAAGACCAGACGAGCCGCTGCATTCTGGATGAGCTGCAGAGGTCGGATGGCACATGCAGGTAGACCAGCCAGGAGGGAGTTGCAGTAGTCTAGGCGTGAGATGACGAGAGCCTGGACCAGAACCAGCGTTGCTTTCTGTGTCAGCTGGGGACGTATTCCTGATGTTGTAAACATGTTTAATCATATTAAAAACTGGGTGAACTGGGTTTGAATCAACTGACGGAGCTCCTGTCAGTGAGTTAAACATAAGTATTTAATACGTGGAGTAAATATTAAACAGTTTGACCAGGAGAAACCTAAACAGAGAGGACGGCACATTGTTGTCTAATGTTCACTTTTTGACAACAATAAACTCATAAGGATTTAATCAGAATAAAAAATACTGATAATATTAAATACGAATATAAAAATAGGTGAACAGACGTGTTATTTTTTCATGAATGACCTCCTTGTTGCACACTATTCTGCTTATTACACGGCCACATACTAAATAAACGTATTGCTTCTGCTAAGAATACTCCGACCCTCCTTAGCAACTTTACTATTTTTCTTTACAGTGGTGTGTTATCGAGTATTTACGACCTCTCTGATGTCCAATTGGACCAATCAGAATGGAGTATTCAGCTACGTTAAAGATCAGTTAAGTAATTTGTGCACTACCAGCTCATCAAAATGGACCCTTTATAAAAATAGGCTGCATCCAAATGGAGATGTCTGATATAATATATAACAGTAATGAATGCACTGCTGTCACTGTGGAAATGCCAACATGCTGAAGTCCATCATCTGAGAAATGTGATAGCATTTAACTCCAACCTCTCCTTGATTACCTTTTGTCTAAATAGAAGTTAGCGGATTGTTTTGAATACAACACATCATACAGTACTTACAACACATAGAGTAGCTCACTTTTCTGTACAGTTCACATTCAAACAATGCTGTGGTTATTATCTACATGAGGACTAGTGACCAATGACCTATGGGTGTTATGTACAAAGCGTCCTCCGTGAGTTCTCATGACTCCACTAAAGGAAAAGTATGATTTGGCATCAAAATGTACTTAAGTACCAAAAAGAAAATGGCCAATTTTGGAATGATAAAGATTAAATAACTGGATTATGACTATTTATGCATTAAAATGGCTCTTATTTTAATTACTTTATACACTGCTGCTGGATATATTAACCTATAGTAATATATCATAGTTATTTTTATTTTGTATTAACTAATAACCTATTTCTAAAAGTATCTAACAAAAGTTATCAGATAAAAGTAGTGGACAAAAGAGTTAAACATTGGCTCTTGAAGTACAAATACCTACAAAATGTTACTTAAGTACAGTACTTAGGTACATGTAGTTCATTAATTGATTGTACTTTAGTATGAGTTTTTGTGAATTATATTATACTGCATATGTGTGGCCTTATAGTGGTTATTTTCTCTCTTGCTGTGTGGTACTATGTGTTAGGAGTCGGACCCCCTTTCAAACCAGATGGTTCATCTCAAGGGCGTTTATCCCAATTAAATACATTTCAGTAAAAATGTATGTGGTTTATACCTACGTAGGCCTACAAACATGTTTTTATTATATTTGACATCTTTCTAGTTTAGATGTCCGTGCTTTTATCTTGAAGGCAACACGCCCAACCGGAACTCAGTGTTACACAACACTAGTTTTCTTCACTTTCCCTCCCCTGCCTCCGGGTCTGTGTTGTGCTGAGAAACGCCCGAAAACAGACAACCAAATGCCCGGTGATTTCACCTGACAGTCGGGGGGGATAGAGCAGGACGGATAGGCACAAAGAAATGCCGACAAAGAGTCACCCGTTAACCGACCGTTGATCGACGTTTGAGAGCCGTTGATGTGAAGAGCGGAAGTTTGTCCATCAAAACACTGAAGAGGACCAAATATTTATAATTGACTGTTTTTCAGTGACTTTCTCTCAGTTTGGGAGCTTTAATAACTCAAAAGGCACCTCGGGAAACAGGTAAGATCAAATAAAAGTGTTTAAATAAAAAAAGACGAGTGAATTCATACGAAATGTTGCTAGTTAATAAAGTTAGCTAACTAGCCGCTGTCCTGCGATGAATGCAGAGATGGAAGAAGTTACTTCAGGTTTAAACACTTATAAATCTGCTCATACACAGAGAAATAAGCACAGTGTTTGAGTTTTCTTCAGTATTAAAGTGTTTCACTGTTAATGCATGGGTTCAATGCAGACAGGAACTAATAATAGCTAGTTCAGCATACTTTTATTGGTGCCAATTTCTAAAATGCAAACAAGTATAAGCTGTTTCGATGCTCTTGCATATTGTCTTTCCTATAAGTTATAATGTTTATTTGTATTTGTATCCCCTACTTATGTCTGTTCTCCTGCTGCAACCTTATTTCCCCTCTGAGGACCATTACAAGTGTATCTCATCTAAAAACAAACTGAGCTCACGTAGTAGCCTCTAGCTTGCTTATTTATCCTGAACACAAACTCAATGCTGTTTGCTTACATGCATACTGTTTACATACAGGAAACACCTCTAATGCAAAGTGACAATGTTAGTAACAAATGGGGGTAGTTCATGTGTTTGTTCCAGAATGTTTTACATTATAATGCTGGCTCTCCATGGGCGTAGATTAAAATAAAAAGCTTTATGTTAGCACAACTTGGTAAACGGATCCTTCTAACTTAGCAGTCTAAATATACACAAGGTGCACTCAGGAGGTGCTTTGCTCTAAAGAGAAGTATAGAGAGCCTTTACATAGGTTACAAGTACTTGTATCACACTGTAACAAATACTCTGTTATGAGTCAAAAGTCCTGCATTTCAAAATGTAACTTAATCAGTAGTTTAGTATTAGTTAGTTAAAGTGGTCCACCATTGCCCTTAATGCACCCCTTAAGCTTTGAATGAATTTACCAGATTGTGTATGTATGAAAGACAAGAATACTAGTTACTTGACAGGCTCATATTATTAATAACACATATACATAGTGTAATGAATTGGGATTCACAATATTTAGTTGAAGAATCATTCAAGGTAGCCCCATCTCTACTAGCTTCAACAATACAGTGATGAACTCACTAATGAATCATTCAATAAAGTCCACTGACATATTATATAGTGAAAATGGCCAGTCTGTATAAGGACTACTTTTAGTTGTGGAGCTTTAAGTACATTGTAATGCTAAAAGAAATGCATCCTGGACTTGTACTTTACCAGTCACAGTTTTTCCTACACTGTGTTATTACTACTTTTATGGAGTACTTTGTCCACTTGTCCTTATAATACAGTCACCAGATTTAGTGTAAAAGATGCATTACATAATACACATATTCTGTTGGCTTGGCTTGCTCCTTCAAAGGGTTGTTCAGGTTTGCAGAAACTTGAAAAACTGGAGTTTGTGTTTGTGTACAGGAGCTACACAAACACTTAGAGCAGAAAGAGGATCCGAGTTAAACACTATAACGTCTCGTCTATTCTTGTGTACACTTTAGCACATCTTACAAAATGAGTTGTCATATTTTAAGTCCTTGGCAAAGAACATCTACCAAATATTCTTATTAAATATAAACAAAAAAGGAAATACACACATTTTAGCAAAATGAGAACGCAAGACATAACAAAGTGAAATGTGGAGCCTTAAAAAGTAGCTTATTAGGTTTATAACAGCTTGTATAAACAGATATATAAACAAATGTAGTCATACAATTGTTGGTTGAAGTATTTAGAGTTGAACCACTGATGATAACCACACATTTTCTTTATATACCTGGCTTTGTACTTTGTGTCGTTGCGGCAGGAAATGACCTCTTTAAGCTGTTGGCACACACATGAACACGCTATTGTGTGAAGTACAATCATATTCTGCAGACACAATATTTACTTTCTATTCAAGTTAACCAAACAATTAACAACAGAACATAAAAGTATTACATAATACATTACAGGTCTCCCTTGAAAAAGAGATCTATGATCTCAATGGGACCAATCTGGTTAAATAAAGGTTTGAAATGAAATGAAAGTGAAAAGGCGGTCACTTTGATTTTTACAACAAAGTTTGAGAATCTGATTTATTTTTAGCTCGACATCTTGTGTCGCATTGACGATTAAAAAAGGGAACTGTCTCAACTAAAGTAATGCAGCACGTTCATCAGAGCATCATCACATAAAGCCAGGTGAGTTAGTTTCAATATACTGCAGCGGAACCGACATATGATTATTATTAATACATTCTGTAAAGACGTCACTGCTTTCATTTGCTTTGCCGTTTTCCACCCATTAGATCAGTTTCTTTCAGTTTGACCTTTTTGTTGACTGTAAGTTTTGAAGTTTGTATTCCTGCTTTATCATTGATCTATTAGTTATTTCCTGTTCTGCTTCCATCTACTAGGACATATATACACACACACACACACACACACACACACACACACACACACACACACACACACACACACACACACACACACACTAGAGTTCACTGTGGGTTGTGGGAATATTTGTTGTTTCCCCATAAAGGGAGATTATTGTTGAAGATGAACAGAACCATGGAGCTACAGTGATTGATGGACACACACACACACACACACACACACACACACACACACACACACACACACACACACACACACACACACACACACACACACACACACACACACACACACACACACACACACACACACAGATTACACTCTTGACACACAAGACTTCAGAACTGGACTGATCCACTCTCTTAGTGTTAGTGAGGAACCAGTGTAAAGACTTCAGAACTGGACTGATCCACTCTCTTAGTGTTAGTGAGGAACCAGTGTAAAGACTTCAGAACTGGACTGATCCACTCTCTTAGTGTTAGTGAGGAACCAGTGTAAAGACTTCAGAACTGGACTGATCCACTCTCTTAGTGTTAGTGAGGAACCAGTGTAAAGACTTCAGAACTGGACTGATCCACTCTCTTAGTGTTAGTGAGGAACCAGTGTAAAGACTTCAGAACTGGACTGATCCACTGTCTTAGTGTCAGTGAGGAACCAGTGTAAAGACTTCAGAACTGGACTGATCCACTCTCTTAGTGTCAGTGAGGAACCAGTGTAAAGACTTCAGAACTGGACCGATGTGATCCACTTTCTTCGTGTTAGTGAGGACTCTGACTTTTTGTAATTGCAGTTGTCCCTTGTTTCCCCCCCAGGTGCTATGAACAGCGAGCTGAACGTGCCGATGGGCTCAGATCGGGCCCCTGATGGGGCGGGGATGGACTACAGGGACTGGGTGAGGCGCAGCTACCTGGAGCTGGTGAGCTCCAACCACCACTCTGTGCAGGCGCTCAGCTGGAGGAAGCTGTACCTGAGCCGGGCCAAACTCAAGGCCTCCAGCAGGACCTCGGCCCTACTGTCCGGGTTCGCTATGGTCTGTTACTGTTATTATAATAACTAAAGATACAACAACTATATATGTTAAAGGTCACCTATTATGCAAAATGCACTTTTTTACGTCTCTTCTACATCAACATGTGTCCCCTCTTCTTCATGTCTCTTCTACATCAACACGTGTCCCCTCTTCTCCATGTCTCTTCTACATCAACATGTGTCCCCTCTTCCTCATGTCTCTTCTACATCAACATGTGTCCCCTCTTCTTCATGTCTCTTCTACATCAACATGTGTCCCCTCTTCTTCATGTCTCTTCTACATCAACATGTGTCCCCTCTTCTTCATGTCTCTTCTACATCAACATGTGCCCCCTCTTCTTCATGTCTCTTCTACATCAACATGTGTCCCCTCTTCTTCATGTCTCTTCTACATCAACATGTGTCCCCTCTTCTCCATGTCTCTTCTACATCAACATGTGTCCCTCTTCTTCACGTCTCTTCTACATCAACATGTGTCCCCTCTTCTTCATGTCTCTTCTACATCAACATGTGTCCCCTCTTCTTCATGTCTCTTCTACATCAACATGTGTCCCCTCTTCTTCATGTCTCTTCTACATCAACATGTGTCCCCTCTTCTTCATGTCTCTTCTACATCAACATGTGTCCCCTCTTCTTCATGTCTCTTCTACATCAACATGTGTCCCCTCTTCTTCATGTCTCTTCTACATCAACATGTGTCCCCTCTTCTTCATGTCTCTTCTACATCAACATGTGTCCCCCTCTTCTTCATGTCTCTTCTACATCAACATGTGTCCCCTCTTCTTCATGTCTCTTCTACATCAACATGTGTCCCCTCTTCCTCATGTCTCTTCTACATCAACATGTGTCCCCTCTTCTTCATGTCTCTTCTACATCAACATGTGTCCCCTCTTCTTCATGTCTCTTCTACATCAACATGTGTCCCCTCTTCTTCATGTCTCTTCTACATCAACATGTGTCCCCTCTTCTTCATGTCTCTTCTACATCAACATGTGTCCCCTCTTCTTCATGTCTCTTCTACATCAACATGTGTCCCCTCTTCTCCATGTCTCTTCTACATCAACATATGTCCCCTCTTCTTCATGTCTCTTCGACATGAACATGTGTCCCCTCTTCTTCATGTCTCTTCTACATCAACATGTGTCCCCTCTTCTTCATGTCTCTTCTACATCAACATGTGTCCCCTCTTCTTCATGTCTCTTCTACATCAACATGTGTCCCCTCTTCTTCATGTCTCTTCTACATCAACATGTGTCCCCTCTTCTCCATGTCTCTTCTACATCAACATGTGTCCCCTCTTCTTCATGTCTCTTCTACTCATATAAACATATGCCGTTGCCAAGCAACGCTTATTGTTTAGGTCCTTTGATAAGCAGGCAGTCATATCATTAACTAGAACTAGCTAGATCTGATAGATTTGGACATAAACGCGAGTGAAGTCTAACCGGACGAGAGAGAGAGAGATCAGAGATCAGATCAGCTGCTGCTGACGGAGAACACGCAGCTCTTCCGGATCACATGTCCGCCGCTGTGACGGACCGGCGAACAGAGCAAAACACACTAAGAGTTAGACCTAACACACTTAGCTAGTTTATCTACTCTGGAACTAGCTAAACTAGCTAAACTAGTTATACATACATTTATTCTTCATTGTCGGGTCACTTATTACAGGTTCAGCGAGCTGCACGAGACTGACGGGCTGTCAGGAGAGAGAGAGGAAAAGAGAGCACCCGTTTATTGTTCCCATGTTATTATCCAGAGTTCTCTTTTTTTTCATTAACATAAAATAAATCTCACGTACCCCCTGCAGTACTCCAACGTACCCCTAGGGGTCCGCGTACCCCCATTTGAGAACAACTGCTCTAGAGCACCATTGTGTTCTTTGTAACCAGATCTCTCTCAGAGGGGCGTGGGGAGGGGCTCCTTATTTTAATCTAAACTAACAGACAGAGAATCAGCACTTTGGAAACAGGGCTGAAACAGAGGGGATTATGGGTAATGCTGCAATGATCTGTTTGGTGTTTCAGCCAATCAGAGACAGGCTCTGGATATATCTGAGACCTGTGATATATTGAACAGTATGATAGGGAACTTGTAACCTCTTAACATGGAGGTGCTTAATGTTTGGAACGTTGTGAAGTCTTTAGTTTCTCAGCTGCTCTCCGGGCAGATCATGGTTTGAGTTCTTCACCCCACTGAACATTGTGAAACCACGATAATGCAGCTCAGTGATGGAAACAGCTGTGGGCATGAACTGGTTTTTGACTTCCTGTCTGTGCTTTCAACCACTTCGTGCAACTTCAATGCTTAGGTTTTGTATTCTGGATCTCCTTTCCGATAAACATTTCTTTAGTGGCACAAGCAAAACAAAATGAGCTCTGCGATTGGATGTTTCTCTGCAATCTACATCACAGTTGAATTCTCTCTTTTATTTCCTTCTGACTCTTTATAAGAAGATATTTAATGACATAATAGTTTATTTTTTGTACTGATAATTCAACCAGGATAGTTACATGTGTCCATCCTACTCTTTTCAACCCGACAACCTGCAGGAAATGAACAGAAATTGTATTTTACACAACTGAAAACATATCCAAGCCAGCTTAAAAATAGCAATTTTCTTGTACATAATCTGTTTCAGGTAAAGTTTCTGTATTGAAAAGAATACCCTTAGTAAAGTATAATAAGCAAAAACTGTAGAAATATTTTTGTAATACCTGAAAAAGTATTTTGGCCTCCTAATAGCACTCTTCCACTCTGCTTTGGTTTGAAATGTCCAATGCATTGGTGAAAGAAGTACTACAATCTGAATCTTTTGAGTATTCCTAGACTGATACTTTAACCCAGGTGCAGAGCTGGGAAGTATTAGAGTACAAATACTTCGTTACTGTTCTTAAGTACATGTTTCTGGTATCAGTACTTTACTCCACGACTTATTTTTCTGACGACTTTTTACTTTCTATTTCTTACATTTTGAACACAAATACCTGTACTTTCTACTTCTTACATGTTGAACCCAAATACCTGTACTTTCTACTTCTTACATGTTGAACCCAAATACCTGTACTTTCTACTTCTTAGATGTTGAACTCAAATACCTGTACTTTCTACTTCTTACATGTTGAACTCAAATACCTGTACTTTCTACTTCTTACATGTTGAACTCAAATACCTGTACTTTCTACTTCTTACATGTTGAACTCAAATACCTGTACTTTCTACTTCTTAGATGTTGAACTCAAATACCTGTACTTTCTACTTCTTACATGTTGAACCCAAATACCTGTACTTTCTACTTCTTACATGTTGAACCCAAATACCTGTACTTTCTACTTCTTACATGTTGAACTCAAATACCTGTACTTTCTACTTCTTACATGTTGAACACAAATACCTGTACTTTCTACTTCTTACATGTTGAACACAAATACCTGTACTTTCTACTTCTTACATGTTGAACCCAAATACCTGTACTTTCTACTTCTTAGATGTTGAACTCAAATACCTGTACTTTCTACTTCTTACATGTTGAACCCAAATAACTGTACTTTCTACTTCTTACATGTTGTATACAAATACCTGTACTTTCTACTTCTTACATGTTGAACCCAAATACCTGTACTTTCTACTTCTTACATGTTGAAGCCAAATACCTGTACTTTCTACTTCTTACATGTTGTATACAAATACCTGTACTTTCTACTTCTTACATGTTGTATACAAATACCTGTACTTTCTACTTCTTACATGTTGAACTCAAATACCTGTACTTTCTATTTCTTACATGTTGAACTCAAATACTTGTACTTTCTACTTCTTACATGTTGAACCCAAATACCTGTACTTTCTACTTCTTACATGTTGTATACAAATACCTGTACTTTCTACTTCTTACATGTTGAACTCAAATACCTGTACTTTCTACTTCTTACATGTTGAACTCAAATACCTGTACTTTCTACTTCTTACATGTTGAACCCAAATACCTGTACTTTCTACTTCTTACATGTTGAACTCAAATACCTGTACTTTCTACTTCTTACATGTTGAACCCAAATACCTGTACTTTCTACTTCTTACATGTTGAACTCAAATACCTGTACTTTCTACTTCTTACATGTTGAAGCCAAATACCTGTACTTTCTACTTCTTACATGTTGAACTCAAATACCTGTACTTTCTACTTCTTACATTTTGTATACAAATACCTGTACTTTCTACTTCTTACATGTTGTATACAAATACCTGTACTTTCTACTTCTTACATGTTGAACCCAAATACCTGTACTTTCTACTTCTTACATGTTGTATACAAATACCTGTACTTTCTACTTCTTACATGTTGAAGCCAAATACCTGTACTTTCTACTTCTTACATGTTGAACTCAAATACCTGTACTTTCTACTTCTTACATGTTGAACTCAAATACCTGTACTTTCTACTTCTCACATGTTGAACTCAAATACCTGTACTTTCTACTTCTTACATGTTGAACTCAAATACCTGTACTTTCTACTTCTTACATGTTGAACTCAAATACCTGTACTTTCTACTTCTCACATGTTGAACTCAAATACCTGTACTTTCTACTTCTTACATGTTGAACTCAAATACCTGTACTTTCTACTTCTTACATGTTGTATACAAATACCTGTACTTTCTACTTCTTACATGTTGAACCCAAATACCTGTACTTTCTACTTCTTACATGTTGTATACAAATACCTGTACTTTCTACTTCTTACATGTTGAACCCAAATACCTGTACTTTCTACTTCTTACATGTTGAACTCAAATACCTGTACTTTCTACTTCTTACATGTTGAACACAAATACCTGTACTTTCTACTTCTTACATGTTGTATACAAATACCTGTACTTTCTACTTCTTACATGTTGTATACAAATACCTGTACTTTCTACTTCTTACATGTTGAAGCCAAATACCTGTACTTTCTACTTCTTACATGTTGAACTCAAATACCTGTACTTTCTACTTCTTACATGTTGAACCTAAATACCTGTACTTTCTACTTCTTACATGTTGAACTCAAATACCTGTACTTTCTACTTCTTACATGTTGAACTCAAATACCTGTACTTTGTACTTCTTACATGTTGAACACAAATACCTGTACTTTCTACTTCTTACATGTTGAACTCAAATACCTGTACTTTCTACTTCTTACATGTTGAACTCAAATACCTGTACTTTCTACTTCTCACATGTTGAACTCAAATACCTGTACTTTCTACTTCTTACATGTTGAACTCAAATACCTGTACTTTCTACTTCTTACATGTTGAACTCAAATACCTGTACTTTCTACTTCTCACATGTTGAACTCAAATACCTGTACTTTCTACTTCTTACATGTTGAACTCAAATACCTGTACTTTCTACTTCTTACATGTTGAACTCAAATACCTGTACTTTCTACTTCTTACATGTTGAACTCAAATACTTGTACTTTCTACTTCTCACATGTTGAACTCAAATACCTGTACTTTCTACTTCTTACATGTTGAACTCAAATACTTGTACTTTCTACTTCTTACATGTTGAACTCAAATACCTGAACTTTCTACTTCTCACATGTTGAACACAAATACCTGTACTTTCTACTTCTCACATGTTGAACTCAAATACTTGTACTTTCTACTTCTTACATGTTGAACTCAAATACCTGTACTTTCTACTTCTTACATGTTGAACCCAAATACCTGTACTTTCTACTTCTTACATGTTGAACTCAAATACTTGTACTTTCTACTTCTTACATGTTGAACTCAAATACCTGTACTTTCTACTTCTTACATGTTGAACCCAAATACCTGTACTTTCTACTTCTTACATGATGAACTCAAATACTTGTACTTTCTACTTCTTACATGTTGAACTCAAATACCTGTACTTTCTACTTCTCACATGTTGAACTCAAATACTTGTACTTTCTACTTCTCTCATGTTGAACTCAAATACTTGTACTTTCTACTTCTCTCATGTTGAACTCAAATACCTGTACTTTCTACTTCTTACATGTTGAACTCAAATACCTGTACTTTCTACTTCTTACATGTTGTATACAAATACCTGTACTTTCTACTTCTTACATGTTGAACCCAAATACCTGTACTTTCTACTTCTTACATGTTGTATACAAATACCTGTACTTTCTACTTCTTACATGTTGAACCCAAATACCTGTACTTTCTACTTCTTACATGTTGAACTCAAATACCTGTACTTTCTACTTCTTACATGTTGAACACAAATACCTGTACTTTCTACTTCTTACATGTTGTATACAAATACCTGTACTTTCTACTTCTTACATGTTGAACCCAAATACCTGTACTTTCTACTTCTTACATGTTGTATACAAATACCTGTACTTTCTACTTCTTACATGTTGAAGCCAAATACCTGTACTTTCTACTTCTTACATGTTGAACTCAAATACCTGTACTTTCTACTTCTTACATGTTGAACCTAAATACCTGTACTTTCTACTTCTTACATGTTGAACTCAAATACCTGTACTTTCTACTTCTTACATGTTGAACTCAAATACCTGTACTTTGTACTTCTTACATGTTGAACACAAATACCTGTACTTTCTACTTCTTACATGTTGAACTCAAATACCTGTACTTTCTACTTCTTACATGTTGAACTCAAATACCTGTACTTTCTACTTCTCACATGTTGAACTCAAATACCTGTACTTTCTACTTCTTACATGTTGAACTCAAATACCTGTACTTTCTACTTCTTACATGTTGAACTCAAATACCTGTACTTTCTACTTCTCACATGTTGAACTCAAATACCTGTACTTTCTACTTCTTACATGTTGAACTCAAATACCTGTACTTTCTACTTCTTACATGTTGAACTCAAATACCTGTACTTTCTACTTCTTACATGTTGAACTCAAATACTTGTACGTTCTACTTCTCACATGTTGAACTCAAATACCTGTACTTTCTACTTCTTACATGTTGAACTCAAATACTTGTACTTTCTACTTCTTACATGTTGAACTCAAATACCTGAACTTTCTACTTCTCACATGTTGAACACAAATACCTGTACTTTCTACTTCTCACATGTTGAACTCAAATACTTGTACTTTCTACTTCTTACATGTTGAACTCAAATACCTGTACTTTCTACTTCTTACATGTTGAACCCAAATACCTGTACTTTCTACTTCTTACATGTTGAACTCAAATACTTGTACTTTCTACTTCTTACATGTTGAACTCAAATACCTGTACTTTCTACTTCTTACATGTTGAACCCAAATACCTGTACTTTCTACTTCTTACATGTTGAACTCAAATACTTGTACTTTCTACTTCTTACATGTTGAACTCAAATACCTGTACTTTCTACTTCTCACATGTTGAACTCAAATACTTGTACTTTCTACTTCTCTCATGTTGAACTCAAATACTTGTACTTTCTACTTCTCTCATGTTGAACTCAAATACTTGTACTTTCTACTTCTCTCATGTTGAACTCAAATACTTGTACTTTCTACTTCTCTCATGTTGAACTCAAATACCTTTACTTTCTACTTCTCACATGTTGAACTCAAATACTTGTACTTTCTACTTCTCTCATGTTGAACTCAAATACCTGTACTTTCTACTTCTTACATGTTGAACTCAAATACCTGTACTTTCTACTTCTTACATGTTGAACTCAAATACTTGTACTTTCTACTTCTCACATGTTGAACTCAAATACCTGTACTTTCTACTTCTTACATGTTGAACTCAAATACTTGTACTTTCTACTTCTTACATGTTGAACTCAAATACCTGTACTTTCTACTTCTCACATGTTGAACACAAATACCTGTACTTTCTACTTCTTACATGTTGAACTCAAATACCTGTACTTTCTACTTCTCACATGTTGAACTCAAATACTTGTACTTTCTACTTCTTACATGTTGAACTCAAATACCTGTACTTTCTACTTCTCACATGTTGAACTCAAATACTTGTACTTTCTACTTCTCTCATGTTGAACTCAAATACTTGTACTTTCTACTTCTCTCATGTTGAACTCAAATACTTGTACTTTCTACTTCTCTCATGTTGAACTCAAATACTTGTACTTTCTACTTCTTACATGTTGAACTCAAATACCTGTACTTTCTACTTCTCACATGTTGAACTCAAATACTTGTACTTTCTACTTCTCACATGTTGAACTCAAATACCTGTACTTTCTACTTCTTACATGTTGAACACAAATACCTGTACTTTCTACTTCTTACATGTTGAACACAAATACCTGTACTTTCTACTTCTTACATGTTGAACTCAAATACCTGTACTTTCTACTTCTTACATGTTGAACACAAATACCTGTACTTTCTACTTCTTACATGTTGAACTCAAATACCTGTACTTTCTACTTCTTACATGTTGAACTCAAATACTTGTACTTTCTACTTCTCTCATTTTCCAAACAGCTGGTTCCTTTAGTCTGAATGTGTGTTTGATGCGTGATCATTATTCTTTAGAGTCATTGCGTGCCTATTGATTTGAACACGATCCGTGTATCCATCATTTCCTGGTCTTCTCTAAAGAAGAGGGACCAATGGAAACGTTGTCATGTTGCCGTTGTTCAGCATGGAAACATTCATTAGCTAACAATGACATTATTGTTCTATTAATATAAAGGGAGGTCAGGTACTCTTTAAAGCAGCTGCTAGTTATGGGTACTTTTTACTGAAGTACATTTCAAAGCCTCTTTACTTTCACTTGAGTAAAGAAGTTTAGTCAGTACTTCTACTTTCACCAGAGTATTCTTAAACACGAGTATCTGTAATTCTACTTGAGTAAAGGATGTGTGTACTTTTGCCATCTCTGACCTTTGGTGCTTTAAGTATCTTTTGATGCTGATACTTGAGTAACTTTTTGAATGCAGGGCTTTGACTTGTAACAGAGCATTCCTAGGCTGGTATTTCTACATGAACCCAGGTATCTGAATCCTTCTTTTGATCCTGGTTCTCCGTGTGTTCAGGTGGCGATGGTGGAGGTGCAGCTGGAGATGCACTACAACTACCACCCTGCGCTCCTCATAGCCTTCAGCGTGTGCACCACGGTGCTGGTGGCGGTGCATCTGTTCGCCCTGCTCATCAGCACCTGCATCCTGCCCAACGTGGAGGCCGTCAGCAACATCCACAACCTGAACTCCGTCAGCGAGTCTCCGCACGAGCGCATGCACCTCTACATCGAGCTGGCCTGGGGCTTCTCCACCGCGCTGGGCATCCTGCTGTTCCTCGCCGAGGTGGTGCTCCTCTGCTGGATCAAATTCCTGCCCGTAGACTCGTGCCTTTCCAAAAAGACCTGCAACACAGAGAGCTCCACCTCCGCAGCTCCCCCCACTGCTTCGAGCACCGGCTTTCAGGCGGCACTGGCCTCCACCATCATCATGGTGCCGGTGGGCGTGATCTTCGTCGTCTTCACCGTTCACTTCTACCGCTCGCTGGTGCGCCACAAGACGGACCGACACCACGAGGAGATCGAGGAGCTGCACAAGATCAAGGTGCAGCTGGACGGGCACGAGAGAGGCCTGCAGACGGTGTGACGGGCGCCATGTTTACCTCTGAGCCAAAGGAGTGAGTCCTCAAACCCTGAGAGTCAGCATTTTAGCACTTCCTGTTCCCTCTTCTGGAAGTCAATGGGTTTTTTTTATGTGTTTTTGGTAAGGAAATAAGGTCAGATTTTCACATTTTGGTCTTCTACATAAAATACGTCAGTAAATACCTCACTGGTGAATTTAAACACAGCGGTTGCTAACAAGTGTATAAATGAGACGACTTTACGTCATCACGCCCAACATTAGCCCCCTTTAGCTTAGCGGTGGTGACGTGAAGTCATGTGACCGTGCTGTAGTTCCTTTATAGCCCAACGTTAGCCGCCTTTAGCTTAGCGGTGGTGACGTGAAGTCATGTGACCGTGCTGTAGTTCTTTTATAGCCCAACATTAGCTTTTTACTTCAGAAATCATGAATTAATATGTGGAGATTATCCTGCTGAACTAAAAGTGGAAGTATCATAAATGTTTGCCATAGATCTTATTTTGCGCAATAATCCAAAATCCAAATGTAAAATCCCATTGACTTTTTGTGAAAGGAACCAGGGAGATGCTACCTTCAGGGACGGCCTCAAAACGACGTCATCCCTTTAAAGCTCCTCACTCTGCAGCACAATTCATGTCTTACTGCTAATTGATTCTTCCGGTCAGTTGTCTTGTAGAGTTTGCTGTAGGACCTCGTCTGTGTTTCATGTGTCGGTGAAGTTAATGTTAAGGTTTACAGAAAAAAGGGCTACTGTGTTCTGTGTGCCATATTTGTGCAATGTCTGTTTTTATTGTTGTGTTTGGTGACGACTGGAATCAGTTCCCCGTCAAATCAAATGCAACAATATCAATATTGCGACAATATCTTAGGGATAAAAATGTATGCTTTCACTATAGTATGATGACAAATCTTCAGTAATGTGGATTTATGATTATGTCGATAAAGACCAATAAGTAAAACAGTCTGATACATTCAGAAGTGTTTCTATTTTACTGTACGGCAACACTTCAAACCAGAAAAAGACACTTTTTATTGATTACATTTCGATGTATTGCCTGAACTTAGTTTTAGTTTTGTAAAATACCAATCACATGTCCTACACACACTTTACTATCAAAGACCTGCCATCACCAGATTCAAAGTGAAATGCCATAAATAACTTTACTTTAGGTCAAAATATATCTTAAAGACTGTGATCTCTTTACTCTAGTCTCAGTTATATTCCATGCCAATGTTACATGGATTTAATAGGAGATTAAAGAAACATGGATTTATTAATCTCGTTAAAAACTGGATTCAGATTTGATCAAATGTTCTCAAACACCAACTCTGAATTAAACCTGAGCTTTTTAACTGTAAAGTCAAGCATTACACTGCAGGATCTTAATGTGTGACGTCTTTAAAAATATGTTGCATGTCTTGTAAAACTGTCAGGAGGTTAGCATTACTCTTTTCTATGTCCAAAATCTCCAAAAAGCCTCAACGTTTCGTGATTTTCCTCCTTCAAAAAGCTTGGTATTGTCTTTTACAAAGACCTCTGCAAGCTGCTGCTGAGATGTGAAACTATGAATGTGTGTTTCTGTCAGAATATAGTTCTGCCTTAAAGAAATATTGCCTTTTATGAGCTTCTGCAAAAGGTCATGATGACACGAGCTGATGAATGTAGTGTCAAATGTTACAGAGTCCATGTCGGCACGATCTCCACTTTTGATATCAAACATCAGAAAGAAACGACAAACAGAAATGGTTACTGCGGAGAAAAACAAACTGTTATCACATTCCAAATAAGATGCCTGACCAAAGTGCTTCCTGTTTGAGATGAAGTGCACTTGTAGTGATGTTGAGGGTTTTATCAGCTTCTGGATGAATCCTGCAGGCCACTGAGTGCCTGCAACACCCTTTCAAAAATAAAATACAAATATTAAAGTTCTCATTGTCTCTTGAATTTTCAACATACTGTACCGTGACTTTTTCACTTTTTTCAACATACTATATGTTATATGTGACTTTTTGTTGACCTACCATACTATTATTTTTTCTTATCAGTTTTTCTATACTATACTATGACTTTTTTCTAACATACTATGACTTTTATTTGTACTTGTTTAGGAAACACTATACTGTGACTTTTTGGACATACTGTTATATGACTTTAAAGAAAACATTTGACTTAGCACAATATATGATTTCGAAATCCTACATTATGACTGAAACCAAAAATGTAGAAGTATGAAAATGAACATGTTATGTCTTGAAATAAAGGTGGATTTTACCATAGGATTTGTTTTATACTTCAGTGTTGGATTTATTTATACATAAAGTATTGCCGTAGTCTTTCATTCAAACTAGTATCTATAAAACCGGCATTTAGTCATTCACCTGATGATGGTGTTCAGGTGATTGTCCATCATCTCCCTTAAAACACAGACAACCAGATGTGATGAGGGGTAAATGGTGAATTAGCAAAGCATTGTATTACCTTATTACACGGCTTAGTCGAATACTCGATTCTGATTGGTCAATTTAGACATTCCAGAGAGGTCTTGCTATTTATTCGCTAGATATGGATCATCGCAATATGTGCAGTTATATCAATCCGCGGAAAGAAGTCCGGTCAATTAATGTACGCAGTGACCAAATACACGTGTTTCCTGCTTCAGAAAACACCATGGAAATGTTTAGTTTTTAATAATTGTAGAGAACACAAACTTTGGAAGTCATGATGGCTAAACGGTCCCCAGTTAAGACAACACAAAGAGCAGAGAGAAGGAATGAAGACAGAAGAAGACAGGAAGAGAGCCCTAAAGGTAACACGGGGTGGGCTCTGGTCGTGTTTAAAGACTGGCTAATGGAGAAGAAAATGTGAACAGACTTTTACATTTAGAGAAAACCTCCATCAGTGCTGCAGTCATTTAAGTTCCAGCCTTTGGCGATCAGTGAAACGGACTACTTTTCTTAGCGGAAGCAAAACGGTTATTATTAAATTATTTTGAATCAATATTGTGATTCAAGTAATTATCGGGATAATGGACAGCTAGCTGGTCATAATAAAAGAAGATCAGGATCCGTGCTCAGCCTGACCACAAAAAGCATATTTAACTCAATAATATCTTACAATAGATTAAATAGTTTAGAAATCACAACTTTCCTAGTTAGAGTCCAAGTACATGTTTTAAATGTCTAATTCTGTTCAAATTAAAGTTCAAAACTCCAACATATTGAGGTTACTTAATAATGAGAATGAAAAGCAGCCTATCATCTCATTTGAGAAGCTAAACATTACTGTTAAACGCCTGAACTGTTGTAACAACATCCATCTGCTACTTAGTAATTATTTATCTAATATATCATTCCAATAGCTTGATATCGACTCTTATTTCACTACTTCACTTTTTTAAAACAATTTTTCTTTTTGTATTTACTTTTTAATATTTACTTGCACTATATTTTTCTGTATTATTGTGTTGCACTGTTGGAGAAGCCTGTGACCTAAGATTTCCATCGACATAACTACTCTGTAGCTATGTTCGTATAACAAATAAAGAACCTTGAACCTATTGCATTTTTTTGCTTGATTAACCGCTCAATTCATTATTAATCAAAGTTGGCGTAATAAAAAGGAACAGCAACATGGTGATCATGAGGATCCTGCTCACGTTGTGTGTGTTTTCCTATTCTTTATTATTGGCCGCCTGCTTACTTCAATCGCATTTACTGAAGAAATCAGCTGATTCTAAACTTTTGAAGGGAATGTTTTCCCTATTTTGGAACAATCCTTTTCTGCATGGCTTATTCTGCCAATTTTGCTATTACAATTTCACACAAATGTGTAATAGGATAATATCATGAGTTTAAGTCATTTTGACCAGAAATGGATGTAAGCTTCTCGGCTTCAAAAACAAGATTGTAATTCTAGTTATTCTGTATAGAAGAAAAACATTTATCCCTAACATGTAATGGTTCTGTATCCCAGAATCAGAACCACAGAGACGTATACTGTCTGCATGGAAATATACCAATAGTTGTAAATGGAGAAATATGTTTTGTGTCTATTTTTATTTATTTTCTCAGCATGTGGTCACAGAGCAGCACCTTGACTCGTGCCCCTGGTCACAGAGCAGCACCTTGACTCGTGCCCCTGGTCACCTCCCGCTGCACCAACAGGCTCCACCTCCAGCTAATCAGGATCAGCGGCCTGAAGGAGACGCAGAGAGAGAGAGTCTGGAGCTCTGACCCAGACATCAAACTGCAGAAACGCTGAACCTCGTACACTACAGGAGGCCGGGACCGCCAGAGAGGGACAACAAAAGGAACCAGTTTCAAACAAAGAAGGGGACTAGACAACAAAACTCCCTCCTCCAGCTTCTTCAGCATCTTGATTCTCCATCCTGTGAACTCTGGGCCTCTTCACGTCTTCTGCAGAAACAACAGCACTAAAAGGGAAGAGGAGAAAGACGAGAGGACGTCAGGAGGTTTTATTGAGAGGTAAGAGATGCAGGTGAACGTGGAGAGAGGCTTAAATCCTGCAGCCAGGCCTCTGCTCTGCTGGAGCTTTAGACAAAGCCTCTTACTGCCCTCCGGCCTCTGCCAGCTCTAAAGCAGCCATTATTCTCCCTGAGAGGAAGTACAGTCGGCTGCAGTGTGTGTGTGTGTGTGTGTGTGTGTGTGTGTGTGTGTGTGTGTGTGTGTGTGTGTGTGTGTGTGTGTGTGTGTGTGTGTGTGTTTGATGTGTTACGTTTGAAAGGTTTCTGTACTTCCCAATCAGATCCAGTAGAGATGACTTCGTGTTGGATGAGACTATAGTTCAAAGCGTCTCTTTGACGACAGATTCAATTAGATGCAAGAAGCAGATAGATATGACAGAAAAGAAGGAGATGAATACAAGTGTTGCATTAAACCAACAGTAGACACACACAAGTGAGCAATATTCACATGGAGATAAACTCTAGAGTCTAGAGTTTATCTCCATGTGAATATTGCTCACTTGAGTTGAAGCTCGACTTGAGTTGTTTTGGTGAGGCTCTAGACTCTAGACTCGAGCCTCACCAAAACAACTCAAGTAGAGCTTCAACTCAATGAAATAGATCCAAACCTTCCGGAGCCCAAGGTGACATCTTCAAATGTCTTGTTTTCTTCAAATTAAAGTTACATTACTTATGAGAATTAAAAGAAGCAAATCCTCGAGTCTAATTTGAAAAGTTGAAAACTGATATTTTGCTCGGTCCAATCACTAGCTATTAGCGTAGCTTTATCTGACATCTTCTCAGACATGAGACACAATCTAAAAACTCCAGAAAAAGGGATTCCACAAAGGAAAGGTTTGATATGAGGCTGTGAAACTGCTGTTATTAAGATCAACAATAGACTTTAAAGACACACCGTAGAAGCTGAGGTTGTCTGTTACATCAATATGTGCGCTTAAAACGTCTTAAAGTTGCACAGTTAAATCAGTGATATGAAATGCTGATATAATGAAGCTTGCATTGTGACACACTTCCTGGTTCAGCCTCACTGTGCTGCAGCTCAGAAACATGTGAATCAGAAACAAACAAAGCAGCGCTTCAGTCATACTGCTTTCTCTCCTGAGCTGCAGTACGTAATACTTGACTAATGCAGGTCATTGTTAGCATTCATTTTAAAAGACATGTCTGCACTCGCTAGTAGATGAACGTCTGACATACTTAACCTTTTACTTGAACAAAACCTGAGGAGTTTTGTTCCAGGAACAGGGCGAATAGATTCTATGTGTGGCCCGCAGTGAACTCTGCGTTCAGCCTCTTTGCTATCTAACACTCTAGCATGACACACTTTTCAAATAAGCTCTTATTATTCAATTGATTTAGATAACTCACATATCTGAGAGAAGTTAGGGACCTTAAAACAAATAGGTCCCTTTTGAGTTGTAAGCCACTTTATTTCTATAATTTCTATAAAGATTGTGTTGCAGGAATAGACAGATAAAATGGTTACAATACGATTAATAGCAAGTTATCCATATAGCTATAAAACTACAGGAGGAATAAGGGAAGAACAGTTGCCTTGACACAGAACACACGTCTAAAAATTGTGAATACGGGACAAACTTACAGAAATCTTGAAACCAAAACATTTCTAAATAGACGAATCCAGCATGTCTGCATTCATAATAAGAATAATGTATCTCAGAATAGATCCATTTGAACCTTTAAATGTTTCCCCTCTGCATTACCAGTGTATTTATATTATAAAGTAAAGAGACGCGTGTGTGTGTGTGTGTGTGTGTGTGTGTGTGTGTGTGTGTGTGTGTGTGTGTGTGTGTGTGTGTGTGGTGTGTGTGTGTGTGTGTGTGTGTGTGTGTGTGTGTGTGTGTGTGTGTGTGTGTGTGTGTGTGTGTGTGTGTTATTTTCTGCAGAGACTGATCCACCAGCGCTCACGTAAGACATGGAAACATTACATTTCCTCGGTCAGAGATGAAAACTTCACACCTTTGTGTGCCTCTGAATCTCTGCCATGTGAGTCTCACACACACACACACACACACACACACACACACACACACACACACACACACACACACACACACACACAGTACACATGCTTGTTAGCATTATAGGCCACACACACAGATTAGCAGCTGATTAGCGAGATTGCTGTTGGCCGTTACATACAAATCTCTGAGGAGGAGGTCCTGAGGTCTCATGAGGTTTAATGAACTGCTGCAAAATGTGAGCTGTGTTGGAAAAAATACTCAGATATTTAATTTAGGTAAAACTTGTGTATAAATACTCTGTTACAAGTACAATTCCTGCATTAAAATGTGCATTAGCATCACAATATCCCTAAGTAAACATATTTAGTATGCAGAATAGCACATTACAGAATCAAATATATAACATTATTGGATAATATTTATTGAATGCGCTAATGTGTTTATTGCTTTAACGTTGCTGCTGTAAAGGCAATTTCTTTTCTGTAGCAACAAGGCAATTCAGCAACGTTACACAACAGTTTAAAAGCAATGAGACATGATGCAAAAGTTAACATTTATTCATGAAATACGTGCACACATAAGCACTTTTAATTCAAAGGTTTTTAGCAGGGACTTCAAGAATGCCAATATTTTTTGAAATAAAAATGCTTTTCTGTCCTTTTTTTCTCAGAAAATTGTAAGTAAAATGTAAAACTGGAATTGTTTTTTTCAACCAATCATACACCAATGCTGGACCAAACTGACAGGTGTAGGATTACCTCCATCAGAAGCAATATGTCGCTTCTTTTGTAAAAAAAAAAGTCTATTCACAATCTTAAAAGATAAGAATCTATATATTATTTTTCCGATTTACGTCGAGTGCAAATTGATAGCAAATCCTAAACTGCATGCCGAACAATTGAGTTTGTAGAGGGTTTTATATTCAGTGTAAGCTGGTCGATACGACTGAGTTTGGGTCAGGAGACAGATTGGCACCCTGTGGTTCTGGATAAAAGAACTCAGATTAAGTCCTGGCCTCAGATCAGCCCTTTGTGTCTGCTGTGTGGATGAACTGTAACCTCCTCAGGCTCCTCACACCTGCTCCAGATTAACACAAGGATCTGCTCTTTACATCTGAAATATGTCCTTTTGATTTGTCAGTGTGGCACATACACTTACATGTTAATCTACTTACTTACTGCCCCACTAATGGGTCATATACACTTATCCCCCTCCCTGTTTGCCGCCTCTGTCATTTGTTATCTTCATCATTCATACTCTCTTTTTTTGAAGTCACTAAAGCTATGTTGCCAACTAATTCCTGTAAGAAATAAGCAAGGGAAAAGGTCATCTCAGTTTCCTTCAGTCAATTTATTTAGAATTGTTTTAATATTTCATTCAATTTGATTTCATTACAGCTCAAAATCATACCGGTTCTTCATGTTGCTAATACAAATGGACTGTCTGTAACAAAGTTATTAAACAGTAATGCTTCTTCTTTTTGCTATTAAATGTTACTTTTACTTTCATATATTAGTTTAAAGCAGCAAAATGTGACCGTATTAACATCTAAAATGCTTTCCTTCACTTTGCTTTACACAGTAAACTCCATGCAGCTCTGCACCCTCGTCACTGTTAGCGAGAGTAACAAAGCAGCAGGGAGAAAATGACTCAGCAGTCATAACTGTTATAACTATGGCTCGCACTTAAGGTGAAGGGATTATCCTGAGGAATCTGAGTAAGCCTTTAACCCCCCCCCCCCTCCCTCACTGTACTCCAGCTGAACCACATGCTGATTATCTCCGACCCCGCTGCGTCTTCTTATGACGTCATTCTGAAGGACGAACCGGAAATTAGCTTTGCTTTGGTTCCCTTGACAGAAAGCGAATGGGATTTGTCCATTGGAATTTAGTTTTTAGCAGAATATAAAATCTGGGGCAAACATTATAATACTTACACGTGTTGTTCATCAGGATAATCTCCACATATTAACACTGCTTTATGATTTTTAAATTAAATGGCTAACGTTATAACGGCTATAAAGGAACTACAGCACGGTCACATGACTTCACATCACCACCGCTAAGCTAAAGGAGGCTAATGCTGGGCTATAAAGGAACTACAGCACGGTCACATGACTTCACGTCACCACCGCTAAGCTAAAGGAGGCTAATGTTGGGCTATAAAGGAACTACAGCACAGTCACATGACTTCACATCACCACCGCTAAGCTAAAGGAGGCTAATGTTGGGCTATAAAGGAACTACAGCACGGTCACATGACTTCACGTCACCACCGCTAAGCTAAAGGAGGCTAATGTTGGGCTATAAAGGAACTACAGCACGGTCACATGACTTCACGTCACCACCGCTTGATTGATTGATTGAAAAGTGTATTAACAGCTTGTATATTGGGTACAGTACAGTACAGCTCAAAACATACAATTGTTAAGGGGATGCAGACCAGAGAAAGACTTTCGTCTTGTTTACATCAGGGTCCCCCATTTCCAATTCATCATGTCATATAAGACATATTTGACATACAGATGGCTTATTTACAATTTACATACAGGTGGTTTTTTACATACAGATTGCTTATTTACAATTTTCATTTTAGATTTCGTTCTAATACATCCTAACCGGACATTTAAGACATACCAAGTCTACAGATATACAGTTAGTAACAGAGTCTAAAATGCGAGTATATACATAGATGGGGGGGGGGGAAGCTGTCCATTGAACGACAGGTTGAGATTTGTACCATTACCGGGGCCAGTTTTGCAATGCTCTCCCCCGAAGGTGCTCTTTAAGAGAGGTTTTGAAGGTAAGTATAGTTTTACTTTCCTTTACAGTTGTGGGAAGAGCGTTCCACCTTGATGTGGCATAATTGCGAAACGTGTATTCCCCCTTTTTTGTGCCAAATCTGGGTTTCACATGATTTGTGGAGCTCCCTCTGGTGTTATGATCATGGTATTCCTTGACCTTTGGGAAGAATTTTGACATGTACATGGGTACCATAGAGGTGTAGTGGATCTTGTAGACCAGGCCCATTGCAAGTAGCTGTACTCTGTCGTCTACTCTAAGCCATCCTAGGTTGTCAAAGTGGGCAGAGGTGAGGTGGGTTCTAGATGAAAGGTCAAGCAGTAGTCTGACCAGTTTATTTTGCGATGTTTGAAGTTTTATTTTTAGCGCCTTGGAGGTGCTATGGTACCATGACGTGCAAGCATAGTCATAGTACCCTTGAATGAGTGCTCCTGCCAGAGTCTTCAGGGTGTTTTTGTTTACCAGAGAGGAGATCCGGTATAGGAATCTAGTTCTTTGATTGACTTTTTTTATTACATTGGATGCCATTTTGTCACAGGAGAGGTTTGCCTCAAGAATAGATCCTAGGTATGTAATTTCCTTCTTACTTGTGACAATAATGTCGCCCACTGCAACTGAGAAGTCGTCGGATTTGCTGAGATTATGTTTCGAACGGAAGAGAATGGACTCTGTTTTACCCAGGTGTAATGATAATTTATTATCGGCGAGCCAGGTGCAGATTCTGCCGAGCTCGGAGCTGAGGGTTTTTTCGACCTGCAATCTGCTCCTGTCAGAGACCAGCAGGGCTGAGTCGTCCGCGAACAGGAACAAGTTGCAGTCACATGCTGATGACATGCTGCGGCTCGTGTACTAACCAGAGTTAGGAAAAGGGACCACATTACTCCTGTTCTGGCTGCCTTACACTGGCTCCCTATAGAACACAGGATAGAATTTAAAATTCTTCTTCTCGCCTACAAAGCCCTTAATGGGCAGGCGCCATCTTACCTTAAAGAACTCATTATACCCTACTGTCCTACTAGGGCATTGCGTTCCAAGAATGCAGGGTTGTTGGTTGTTCCTAGAGTCTCTAAAAGTACAATGGGAGCCAGAGCCTTTTCTTATCAAGCTCCACATTTGTGGAATCAGCTTCCAGTTTGTGTTCGGGCGGCAGACACCCTATCCGTTTTTAAGAGTGCGCTTAAGACCTTCCTTTTTGATAAAGCTTATAGTTAGGGCTGATTAGATCCAGCCCCTAGTTTTGCTGATATAGGCTTAGTTTGTCGGGGGACATCTTACTTCTTCCTTCTCTCTGTCTATACCTGTGTACTCTCATGTTCCGATTAACCCAGCTTCCCCAAATGTCTTTCTTTTTGGTGTCTATATACGCCGGGATCCGGAGTCATGGATGATCCTGCGCTCCTCTGTCCTGGATCGCGAGCCCTGGATCTTGAGTCGTGGCTGTGGTCCTGGATCATAGGTCCTGGATGGATATCCTCGTGGATTCATCTTCCTATTAAACACACATGCATTTCCAAACATTTGGACTACCTATGTTGCAAATGTATTATCTTTTCAATTTACACACGGCATCTATTGCACGTCTGTCCGTCCTGGGAGAGGGATCCCTCCTCTGTTGCTCTCCCTGAGGTTTCTCCCATGTTCCCTTTAAACTGTGGGTTTTCTCCGGAAGTTTTTCCTTGTACGATGTGAGGGTCTAAGGACAGAGGGTGTCGTATTGTCATACTGATATTTTGTACAAACTGTAAAGTCCACTGAGACAAATGTAACATTTGTGATATTGGGCTATATAAATAAACATTGATTGATTGATTGATTGATTGACATGTCATTTACATAAATTAGGAACAGTAATGGACCTAATATGCTTCCTTGTGGAACACCACAGCTCACTGGGAGGGGGGGGGACAGAGTACCGTTTACCTCCACCATCTGTTCTCTCCCCTCCAGGTAGCATTGCATCCAGCTCACCGATAGTTTATCAAAACCAATTGCTTTTAGCTTGTCAATCAGAATGGGGTGATTGACAGTGTCGAAAGCCTTTTGTAGGTCCAGCATCACCATGCCGCAGTACTTGCCCTCGTCCACCTCTTGTTTGATGTGGTCGCTCAAATAAAGAAGGCATGTGTCAGTGGAGTGGGATGTTCTAAAGCCAGATTGAAATTCATAGATTAGTTTCTTTTCCGCGAGGTACTTTTCGACCTGTTCATATACTATTTTTTCCATGACTTTCGAGATGGAGGTAAGTATAGAAACAGGGCGGTAGTTGCCTGGGTCCAATTTGCTGCCCTTTTTGTGCAGGGGGGTTACTCTTGCAATTTTGAAGTCTTTGGGTACTTTTCCCTGTTTTATGGAGAGGTTAATTATGTGAGCTATGACTGGTGAGATGGCGGTTGCTGTGTCTCTGAGGAATTTGGAGGGGATATTGTCGTGGCCAGTGGCCTTGTTAGGTTGGAGGGCGCTCAGTTTAATGAGTACCTCTGCTGTTGTTACCCTTGCTAGACTGAAATCATCTTTGCGTACCCCTAGGTTTTTGTAGTAGGTCATGATGTGATCTACTCCAAAAAGCCCTGAGTGGGAGGGTAATTTATTTACAAGAGTTGTGGCTATGTTTGTGAAAAAAATGTTCAAGTACTTAGCCACATCCAGTTTGTCTGTGATGAGCCTGTTATCTGTCTTTATGTTTAAGTTAGAAAATCTCGTTTTGAGTTTTTTACTGCAGCCAAGCTGGTTATTGAGTAATTTCCAAAGTTCACGGGGTTTATTTTTGTTTTCCTCAGTTTTGACATTGATGAAATTCTTTTTGGCAGTTTTGATCATGGAGCTTACGTCATTTCTTAGTCTGTTTCTTTCAATTTTGAGTTCAGTCACGTGGGCCTGGAGTTCACTGCTCGTGCTTTTGGAAAGCATTGACTGACTTTTATGAAACTCAGAGCATTTTTTGTCTCTGGTTTTCATGGCGGTCAGTATGCCGGAGTGCATCCACGGCTCAGCGCGATTTTTTACCCTGGTTGTTCTTAGGGGGGCCAAATCATTGAGTATTGCAGATAATTTGTTTTTGAAACCAAGCCATGTTTCTTCAACTTGTGTACCACTGAGCTCATCTGACCAGTCCAGGCTCTCCAGTTCTAGGTTAAAGGCCTCGCTAGAGTAGTTTTTGAGGTCTCTAGATATGACTGTTTTGTGACAGCCGGCCCTTTGTTTTAGCTTTTTGCGGGTACAGAATATCATATAATGATCACTTAACCCGCATGCTATAACCCCTTTACTGGAGATCCTGGGCTAAGCTAAAGGCGGCTAATGTTGGGTTATAAAGGAACTACAGCACGGTCACATGACTTCACGTCACCACCGCTAAGCTAAAGGTGGCTAATGTTGGGCTATAAAGGAATTACAGCACGGTCACATGACTTCACGTCAGCACCGCTAAGCTAAAGGTGGCTAATGTTGGGCTATAAAGGAACTACAGCACGGTCACATGACTTCACGTCACCACCGCTAAGCTAAAGGAGGCTAATGTTGGGCTATAACGGAACTACAGCACGGTCACATGACTTCACGTCAGCACCGCTAAGCTAAAGGTGGCTAACGTTGGGCTATAAAGGAACTACAGCACGGTCACATGACTTCACGTCACCACCGCTAAGCTAAAGGCGGCTAATGTTGGGCTATAAAGGAACTACAGCACGGTCACATGACTTCACGTCACCACTGCTAAGCTAAAGGCGGCTAATGTTGGGCTATAAAGGAACTACAGCACGGTCACATGACTTCACGTCACCACCGCTAAGCTAAAGGCGGCTAATGTTGGGCTATAAAGGAACAACAGCACGGTCACATGACTTCACGTCAGCACCGCTAAGCTAAAGGTGGCTAATGTTGGGCTATAAAGGAACTACAGCACGTTCTCATAAATCCACGTCACCACCGGACGTCAGAACAAAGTCTCTTCAGCTTGTGTTAACCACAGACCTTGTTTCAGTCTCCAAACCACAAACATGTTAAAAAAAACATTGACTACCAGATGAGGGAACAGGAAATGCTAAATATGTATCTCATTTATGGGCTTTAGGGCTCATTCCTGCAGCTTTATGTTATTCTAATATGAATTTTTATAGGTGGTGGGTCCACTTTTCTGGATATGTTTGGTATATTGTACTGTATCTTAGATACATATGCCTCATACAGTTCCAGTGTACCAGTGTTTGTGAGAATTTCAACAACAGTTCAATACCAAGCATTTTTCTTCCAGTTATACACGTATAGATTATATTATATAGATTTGTTCTTTCAGTCTTCTGATACCTGTAACTTGTCTTCTCTGCAGAGCCCTCACATGGTGACTTCTGATGTCCTGCTATCCACCTGAGGCTGAAACATGGTCATTCTGCAACAGGTTGGTCATATTGGGTAGAAGCAGACTGTATATAGTGATCAGTACCTGATTTCAGTACATAACGAGTACACATTATGCTCATTTTCAGGTGTATATCAGTATGTAGTGTCTCTACTTTAAAGAGTCCTCTCCTGCTGATGTTCAGGTGTATATCAGTATGTAGTGTCTCTACTTTAAAGAGTCCTCTCCTGCTGATGTTCAGGTGTATATCAGTATGTAGTGTCTCTACTTTAAAGAGTCCTCTCCTGCTGATGTTCAGGTGTATATCAGTATGTAGTGTCTCTACTTTAAAGAATCCTCTCCTGCTGATGTTCAGGTGTATATCAGTATATAGTGTCTCTACTTTAAAGAGTCCTCTCCTGCTGATGTTCAGGTGTATATCAGTATGTAGTGTCTCTACTTTGAAGAGTCCTCACCTGCTGATGTTCAGGTGTATATCAGTATGTAGTGTCTCTACTTTAAAGAGTCCTCTCCTGCTGATGTTCAGGTGTATATCAGTATGTAGTGTCTCTACTTTAAAGAGTCCTCTCCTGCTGATGTTCAGGTGTATATCAGTATGTAGTGTCTCTGCTTTAAAGAGTCCTCTCCTGCTGATGTTCAGGTGTATATCAGTATGTAGTGTCTCTGCTTTAAAGAGTCCTCTCCTGCTGATGTTCAGGTGTATATCAGTATATAGTGTCTCTACTTTAAAGAGTCCTCTCCTGCAGATGTTCAGGTGTATATCAGTATGTAGTGTCTCTACTTTAAAGAGTCCTCTCCTGCTGATGTTCAGGTGTATATCAGTATGTAGTGTCTCTACTTTAAAGAGTCCTCTCCTGCTGATGTTCAGGTGTATATCAGTATGTAGTGTCTCTGCTTTAAAGAGTCCTTTCCTGCTGATGTTCAGGTGTATATCAGTATGTAGTGTCTCTACTTTAAAGAGTCCTCTCCTGCTGATGTTCAGGTGTATATCAGTATATAGTGTCTCTACTTTAAAGAGTCCTCTCCTGCAGATGTTCAGGTGTATATCAGTATATATGTCTCTACTTTAAAGAGTCCTCTCCTGCTGATGTTCAGGTGTATATCAGTATGTAGTGTCTCTACTTTAAAGAGTCCTCTCCTGCTGATGTTCAGGTGTATATCAGTATATAGTGTCTCTACTTTAAAGAGTCCTCTCCTGCAGATGTTCAGGTGTATATCAGTATATATGTCTCTACTTTAAAGAGTCCTCTCCTGCTGATGTTCAGGTGTATATCAGTATGTAGTGTCTCTACTTTAAAGAGTCCTCTCCTGCTGATGTTCAGGTGTATATCAGTATGTAGTGTCTCTATTTTAAAGAGTCCTCTCCTGCTGATGTTCAGGTGTATATCAGTATGTAGTGTCTCTACTTTAAAGAGTCCTCTCCTGCTGATGTTCAGGTGTATATCAGTATGTAGTGTCTCTACTTTAAAGAGTCCTCTCCTGCTGATGTTCAGGTGTATATCAGTATGTAGTGTCTCTACTTTAAAGAGTCCTCTCCGGCTGATGTTCAGGTGTATATCAGTATGTAGTGTCTCTACTTTAAAGAGTCCTCTCCTGCTGATGTTCAGGTGCATATCAGTATGTAGTGTCTCTACTTTAAAGAGTCCTCTCCTGCTGATGTTCAGGTGTATATCAGTATGTAGTGTCTCTACTTTAAAGAGTCCTCTCCTGCTGATGTTCAGGTGTATATCAGTATGTAGTGTCTCTACTTTAAAGAGTCCTCTCCTGCTGTTGTTCAGGTGTATATCAGTATGTAGTGTCTCTATTTTAAAGAGTCCTCTCTTGCTGATGTTCAGGTGTATATCAGTATGTAGTGTCTCTACTTTAAAGAGTCCTCTCCTGCTGATGTTCAGGTGTATCAGTATGTAGTGTCTCTACTTTAAAGAGTCCTCTCCTGCTGATGTTCAGGTGTATATCAGTATGTAGTGTCTCTACTTTAAAGAGTCCTCTCCTGCTGATGTTCAGGTGTATATCAGTATGTAGTGTCTCTGCTTTAAAGAGTCCTCTCCTGCTGATGTTCAGGTGTATATCAGTATGTAGTGTCTCTACTTTAAAGAGTCCTCTCCTGCTGATGTTCAGGTGTATATCAGTATGTAGTGTCTCTACTTTAAAGAGTCCTCTCCTGCTGATGTTCAGGTGTATATCAGTATGTAGTGTCTCTACTTTAAAGAGTCCTCTCCTGCTGATGTTCAGGTGTATATCAGTATGTAGTGTCTCTGCTTTAAAGAGTCCTTTCCTGCTGATGTTCAGGTGTATATCAGTATGTAGTGTCTCTGCTTTAAAGAGTCCTCTCCTGCTGATGTTCAGGTGTATATCAGTATATAGTGTCTCTACTTTAAAGAGTCCTCTCCTGCAGATGTTCAGGTGTATATCAGTATGTAGTGTCTCTACTTTAAAGAGTCCTCTCCTGCTGATGTTCAGGTGTATATCAGTATGTAGTGTCTCTACTTTAAAGAGTCCTCTCCTGCTGATGTTCAGGTGTATATCAGTATGTAGTGTCTCTGCTTTAAAGAGTCCTTTCCTGCTGATGTTCAGGTGTATATCAGTATGTAGTGTCTCTGCTTTAAAGAGTCCTCTCCTGCTGATGTTCAGGTGTATATCAGTATATAGTGTCTCTACTTTAAAGAGTCCTCTCCTGCAGATGTTCAGGTGTATATCAGTATATATGTCTCTACTTTAAAGAGTCCTCTCCTGCTGATGTTCAGGTGTATATCAGTATGTAGTGTCTCTACTTTAAAGAGTCCTCTCCTGCTGATGTTCAGGTGTATATCAGTATATAGTGTCTCTACTTTAAAGAGTCCTCTCCTGCAGATGTTCAGGTGTATATCAGTATATATGTCTCTACTTTAAAGAGTCCTCTCCTGCTGATGTTCAGGTGTATATCAGTATGTAGTGTCTCTACTTTAAAGAGTCCTCTCCTGCTGATGTTCAGGTGTATATCAGTATGTAGTGTCTCTATTTTAAAGAGTCCTCTCCTGCTGATGTTCAGGTGTATATCAGTATGTAGTGTCTCTACTTTAAAGAGTCCTCTCCTGCTGATGTTCAGGTGTATATCAGTATGTAGTGTCTCTACTTTAAAGAGTCCTCTCCTGCTGATGTTCAGGTGTATATCAGTATGTAGTGTCTCTACTTTAAAGAGTCCTCTCCGGCTGATGTTCAGGTGTATATCAGTATGTAGTGTCTCTACTTTAAAGAGTCCTCTCCTGCTGATGTTCAGGTGCATATCAGTATGTAGTGTCTCTACTTTAAAGAGTCCTCTCCTGCTGATGTTCAGGTGTATATCAGTATGTAGTGTCTCTACTTTAAAGAGTCCTCTCCTGCTGATGTTCAGGTGTATATCAGTATGTAGTGTCTCTACTTTAAAGAGTCCTCTCCTGCTGATGTTCAGGTGTATATCAGTATGTAGTGTCTCTGCTTTAAAGAGTCCTCTCCTGCTGATGTTCAGGTGTATATCAGTATGTAGTGTCTCTACTTTAAAGAGTCCTCTCCTGCTGATGTTCAGGTGTATATCAGTATGTAGTGTCTCTACTTTAAAGAGTCCTCTCCTGCTGATGTTCAGGTGTATATCAGTATGTAGTGTCTCTACTTTAAAGAGTCCTCTCCTGCTGATGTTCAGGTGTATATCAGTATGTAGTGTCTCTGCTTTAAAGAGTCCTTTCCTGCTGATGTTCAGGTGTATATCAGTATGTAGTGTCTCTGCTTTAAAGAGTCCTCTCCTGCTGATGTTCAGGTGTATATCAGTATATAGTGTCTCTACTTTAAAGAGTCCTCTCCTGCAGATGTTCAGGTGTATATCAGTATGTAGTGTCTCTACTTTAAAGAGTCCTCTCCTGCTGATGTTCAGGTGTATATCAGTATGTAGTGTCTCTACTTTAAAGAGTCCTCTCCTGCTGATGTTCAGGTGTATATCAGTATGTAGTGTCTCTGCTTTAAAGAGTCCTTTCCTGCTGATGTTCAGGTGTATATCAGTATGTAGTGTCTCTGCTTTAAAGAGTCCTCTCCTGCTGATGTTCAGGTGTATATCAGTATATAGTGTCTCTACTTTAAAGAGTCCTCTCCTGCAGATGTTCAGGTGTATATCAGTATATATGTCTCTACTTTAAAGAGTCCTCTCCTGCTGATGTTCAGGTGTATATCAGTATGTAGTGTCTCTACTTTAAAGAGTCCTCTCCTGCTGATGTTCAGGTGTATATCAGTATATAGTGTCTCTACTTTAAAGAGTCCTCTCCTGCAGATGTTCAGGTGTATATCAGTATATATGTCTCTACTTTAAAGAGTCCTCTCCTGCTGATGTTCAGGTGTATATCAGTATGTAGTGTCTCTACTTTAAAGAGTCCTCTCCTGCTGATGTTCAGGTGTATATCAGTATGTAGTGTCTCTATTTTAAAGAGTCCTCTCCTGCTGATGTTCAGGTGTATATCAGTATGTAGTGTCTCTACTTTAAAGAGTCCTCTCCTGCTGATGTTCAGGTGTATATCAGTATGTAGTGTCTCTACTTTAAAGAGTCCTCTCCTGCTGATGTTCAGGTGTATATCAGTATGTAGTGTCTCTACTTTAAAGAGTCCTCTCCGGCTGATGTTCAGGTGTATATCAGTATGTAGTGTCTCTACTTTAAAGAGTCCTCTCCTGCTGATGTTCAGGTGCATATCAGTATGTAGTGTCTCTACTTTAAAGAGTCCTCTCCTGCTGATGTTCAGGTGTATATCAGTATGTAGTGTCTCTACTTTAAAGAGTCCTCTCCTGCTGATGTTCAGGTGTATATCAGTATGTAGTGTCTCTACTTTAAAGAGTCCTCTCCTGCTGTTGTTCAGGTGTATATCAGTATGTAGTGTCTCTATTTTAAAGAGTCCTCTCTTGCTGATGTTCAGGTGTATATCAGTATGTAGTGTCTCTACTTTAAAGAGTCCTCTCCTGCTGATGTTCAGGTGTATATCAGTGTGTAGTGTCTCTACTTTAAAGAGTCCTCTCCTGCTGATGTTCAGGTGTATATCAGTATGTAG